CCGTTCCCACCCCGCCCCCACGCCGGCCGCTCAGGAACCAAGAGATTTAGAGGCGTCTTGAGAACTTGAAAGGAAGGATGGCTGGAAGGGGCTTTAATTTCATCCGCAAAACGCTTACGTGGAAGATCCACATTAATCCGAAGCCCCCCGAGAAGCCGGATGCATCTATTGGCAGCTATTAATGGGCGCGGCAGTGCTGGAGGGGCCGCTTCAGCTGTTGGAGCCCAGGGGAGCCAGCGCCCGGTCGCGCGGCGCTGCCCGAGGCCGTGGCTTTTCCTTTTCCTTGGATGCGGCGGAGCGTGGACGCGGTGGCCACGGGTGGGAGAGGGAGACTGAGCAACAGGCATTGAGACCGTCATACCAACACCAGCCTATCCTCCTCCCCGCCCCGATCCCTCCCCCGGTCCACGATATGACCCTAATGATTTTAAGAAAACCCGTTAGGACAAGTGCTTCTGCGAGACTTTGAGTCTAGGCCAGAGGGAGGCTCGTTGCCCAAAGACGAGGAGGAAGGCCTTCACCGTGTTTATGCTTTCAAAATAAGTTTTGTTTTTCCTTTTAAAGAGTCCTGGTGGAGCGACTTAAAAGCGCGCTCGGGTGCCAGCGGTGTGCGGCGATCCCCGCGCGGGTAGGTCCCGGGCGGCCATTTCCGCCGCAGGGGACCTTAGGGCAGGCAGGACGACACTGCCGGGGTGAAAGCCCCTCTAGGGGACTTTCGGCCCGACTCTGACTTCCGGGGAGCCCGAGGCATCTCAGGGCAATGCGGTCAGTGCCTTGGGCACGAAATCGCATTTGCTACAAGCCACTTAAGCTGGCAGATTTGGTTGAAAACACCCACAGGTTGAGGACCACGGACACTGCTCCTGCGTCCTAACACAGCCTTCCTGGACACGGGCCCTGGCGGCGGCCGTCGGGTTTCCCGGGCTGCGAGACAATTAATTTACGGGCCTAGGCACACGGGACGGCCCCTATTCTGGGACTGGCGAACCAAGCCCAACTCAGGACAGCTTTACGAATTCCCACCCACCCTGATAGTGGGTCTTGGCGGAACCTCTCCTCATGGCCCAACCAGGCCGCAGCCAGGAAGGAGCAGTCACAGAGCTGCGAGCACCCCATAGCTGCGCCGCCCGAAGTCGAACTTGGCCCTAAGCATTCAGATCAGACCCGGAGGAATCCAGCAAAGGGGCCAGGAACAGCAGCCTTGGTTGCCTGGCCTGGGGTCCCACCTAGACTTTTCTCTCGGGGAGGGCAAGAGCTCAGTTCACGTTGCGCTGTACTCAGCGTGGCCTTGAGCGCACACTCTGGGTCTGGCGAGTTGACATGGTTTCTGGGATTCAGTAGCTTCTTCTGTATTGTTATTACTATACTGCCAGCACCATCAGTGAGCTGTTAAATCTCAAGGGGGCGCGGTCACAAAGCACTGGGGGATGCGCTCCAGGAGAAAGTGAGGGTGCGTCGGGGCGCGGGAGCTTCAAACCGGTCACCCCGGAACTGTAAAGTATCTTCATAGGATGCCCGGCAGCATCTAGACCTTGCTGGAGCAGACCTGCATCTATGCGCTTTCTGGGCACTTTTAGCGGGTTCCTGGGCAGCCCTTGTGGGAACTTTGGGTGTGGAGTTACTCGCTCATTCCTGGTGGGTTGGTGATTTCGAAGTTTTTCCTATACCCCTCTTTGCCTTGTCGTCTTTAGCTGTTCTGAAAGTCTGACTTTCTCTAATAAACAGGGAAAGATAAGAAAAGCGATCGTTTCATAGGTTTTTGTTTTCAAAAATTCACGGCAGCAAGGACGACGCCTATTGCTGATTTGAGCAATATACAAACTAGTTACAAGCCTAGTTATCTCGAGGACTCTGTCAGCTTGTTTATAAATGTGTCTTAAGGGCCCTAAATTTCCCAGAAAACATTCTGTGTCTTTGAAATGAAAGACATACGATGCCAGTTCTACAGTATTTTTACACCAATGAAGGTCCAGATCCTAGGGGAGACACAGGAGCGCCCAGGACATCAGCTGCCTCATAAACCTGCGTCCAACCCATTACCTAAACCCGCTTTTGATGGCAGTGGTTGGAGGGATGAGGTGTAAGGTGTCGCCAACCCCACTTAATATCCCCGGAGCCTTATGGAAACGCACAGCTATCACACGGAATCCCGTGTGTTTTGTGACATGTAACCACATGTGCCCCTAACAGAGGGAATGGCTAATGGCAAACTCCCATAACGAATGCTTAATCTTCAGTTTTTGGCAAGAAGTTGCCTCTTTAGTTGCCAAGAGCTGCATTAAATGGATTTTGAGAGGTTGAGATGGAGTTTATGGTCATGACACAGCTTTGGAAAGGGCGGCATTCATAATACATTGAAAATAATACTAAATAAAATAATAATTCCTAGAAGTCTCAAGAAGGGAGATTAGAGGCTGACTCACCTTCCCAAAATCTACCTGGGCTCTTTCTGCCTGATGCTTTGAAGATAACTTTCTTGGAAATTGACCCTAGTACTGAGAAATGATTTCAGCAACTCTACCCACCTCCTCAGCAGGCTTTTAAAATAAAACTTTCCCCAGTTCCAACTAGTCAGCTTGACCCAGGTCCCTGTAAGGCATGAGTGTTCTGAAGTTCAACCAAAAAATCCCCACTTTACTAGATCAGGTTCTAGTTGGTATTTTATCTCTGCTGGGTCAGCCTATCATGCGCAAGCATCCTTTTCCTTCTCTGACGCACAGTCTGCCTTTGAGAGTATTGTTCATTTGCTTTTGCACCTCTGAACTGTTCCTTTGGGCACCAGCCCCTGCAGGAGGGAGGGAGTGAAAGTCAAGTGAGAGTGGGGATAGGAGAACAACAGACATGGGAACCACCAATTTCTTTTAAAACCTAACAAAACTGAAGACATTTTAGGATTCCAGCACTTGAAGTATTTGCACTGTGTAATCACTGATGCTGCTTCACGTCTTCTCCATGACGGTAATCCCAGTGAGCAGTAAGGGAGTGGGGGTGGGTGGGGTGGGGTGGAGGAAGGCATTAGGAGGGAATGTGAAGGTTCAAGTCTTAGCCTCTCTGAAAAGCCTTCTTCTCTAGTAATTAAAATGTGTTGGAGTAATGGGATCATTGCCCGGACACCACTGGATGCCAACAGAGGGGAAAGGTTATTTTGTGAGGATGACTCTGGCGCTGCCATCTGAAATCACATCTGACATTATTTCCCCGAAACCAGTTTGTTATTAGGTGATAGCTCTCTCACATAGTGATGTTGGGTGTTTTTAAAAAGTTTTCTTTCAGTCCCTTTTGGAATCTAGAATTAAAGAAATTGAATGAGTGAAAATTATTTTCAAAGTCCATTGAAATCACTGAGACTCCCCCAAAGGTAGTCCTTGATTGGAAAGTAAAGTTCAGATAAGGAATTGGCAGCTCAACTCATTTTTTATTAAAGAAATAAATTCCCACAGACAAAAAGTTGCTTCTAATGCCCCTCTTCCCTGTGTGACTATGTTTTGTGAAATGAAAAATATTTGTGTACATACATTAAAGCCACCCACAGTAGGAGAAATGTACAGACCACTCTAGTTCCTTTCCCCCCCCAACTTACTAAAATAAATGGCACACTTATATAGTAACAGTGGGAATGTCACGATAGGATTGCTAGGATTTTCATCTTTGCACTTTCTTTTTTGCAGTAAGAGTTTGAGGCTTATTTTAAGAAAAGTTAGGAAAAAATGTGAGCTGAATCAGGAGAGCTATGCCAAATGTAGAAAAGCAGTGTTGTGAAGAGGGAAGGAGGAGCTGGTTGAGAAACTCTCATGAAAAAGTACTAAAATAATTGCACGTCATGTATCATGGCAGGAAGCCAGGTGGCCTCGTGTTTGTGTGTGCTCTGCTGCTGTTTCCCTTCCCTGACTTCATCTTCAGCCTTCCCACAGTTTTGCAGACATAACAGATACAGAAATATATTTTGCATCCAAGCAGCTCAAGAGGTTTTCATCAAAATAAAAGTGTATACACATGTAAAGAAATAGTTGGACTCTTCTTTCCTTTAAAAACGATGCCCAATCCATTATCATCTACTCCAGAAAACACACCTGCAGTACAACTTTGTAACATATTGAAGTTTCTTCCTTTTAAAAAACAATGACCTGAATATTGTGTGATTCTGTGTTTTAAGTGTGCTGTTACAAAGCTCTCAAATATAATGGATTAAATTTACCTTAATTTCAATAATAATTTTGAAGATTTGGAGACTCCTGATTTTTCAAAGAGCTTTGCTTACTTTTGAATGTCAACTTCTTTCAGATTTTTTTTCCCACATAATTGCCTTTTTCTTAAAAGAGAGAAATGAATTTGATATCTGTTCTCCTAAAGGATCCCATCTAAATGTAAAAATACAATATGGCTATTTGCCTCGTGCAAATATCATGATTTATCTGTAGACATTGTTTATTTTACAATAGAAATGTTTTTTATTTCAAACATTAGAAATGACAATTTAGATGCTACTTTGATCTAGTCAACTTTATTTCTCTCTGTGACTGTCATCACTGTCCCAGAAAATCCTGAATATAATAAAAGATCGCTAAAGTTAGAGTTCTCCTATGACACATATATCATTAAATGGTATTTAAGTAAGCTAACCTGCTTCAATGTATAGGACCAAATTTCACTAGTAATTTATGAATCATTTATCTAAAACAGGTTTTCCACTATTTTATTTGATGAATGAATTATTTAAACTTCTGTTCAATCTATTTAAATATGTTTTTCACCCTGTTGACTCTAAAG